AGGTTATGATATCTGAAAGTTTAGGTTTTAGAAAAAATTGTTCGGCGATTTTGACTAGAAGACCTTTTTCGTTACTACTGCAATAATCTTTCTGTATGCATCTTACTGCTGAAGAGCTACAGAATATGACACAATTTACTGCACCCAACGATCATTTTCAAAAAGAGTTACTTTGATTCAAAATCGAACTTTGAAGAAGGGTAATAATTTTGAAGCAACCAATAAACAGCATATCTCTTGCAAAGCATATGATGCTGAGACTTCCGAAAGCGAGACAAATCAAAAGTAATGTCTATTAAGTGATTCAGTCCATTTTTGAATCGACAGCCAACTTGAATTATCTCAACTATCATATCTCTTCACAATGTGAAAATAAAAGAATGGCGTTGCAGAACCAGGATCAAAATTTGTCTTCGATAAGCGAATAACCTTAAGATTTGCTCGTTCATTGTGATAAACAAAAGTGACTCTCATTGAGTAAACGTAGAAAATGGTTTACTTGTGAAGTTATGATGAAACTTATTTCAGAGACAAATGTCCTATAAATTATTCGTCTTCCTAATCCTGATCTAATTGACTTTTGCATGTTTTCCATTTCTGGAGTGCATCAAAAAACTAATACGGCCTAAGCCCTCCGAAGACCTTAAAGCTAAGGAGAAACAAGAAAACTAAAACTAGAAAAAAGGTGAGTCACTTTATGAAAGCGGTGAGAAAGTAATGGTACACACGAGAGCGACCGCAGCTTACAAAGCTAATCAAATGCTATAATTTCGGTATCGTCAAAACCTACAATGATCTGCATATACGGGTGGCGCAGTAATACGCTTGCACTAATCAGCTTCATATCCATCTTGCTCAATTGACAATCGCCGCTCCTTACTACCACTCTGTAAATTTGGCTTTAAGTTGGATTTACACTTCAAAACAAATCATCAGTAGCTGTTTATTGTGGATGGGGAAATAAAAGAAAACAAACAAGTCTTCAAGAATAGGTCTTTGCCTTTTGAGAACACTGAGAAATCCCGTCCGTATGCGAAATTGCTTGAAAGCGGTGCAAAGATTATAACTGACTAGCTGGCTTACCCGGCTCCGCCGTATCCGGACCAAACTTGGCACACATACACTTCGGGCCCCGGCGGGTGTCACAGTCCACTTTTCGTTATCGATCGATGTCGATTTTACCGATTTTTATCGATTTTTTTGCAGAGTTCACCTACAGGGCTAGGAGTTGGCACAGGGGGGGGGGAAGTAAGCATGGGGATTCCGAATACAATATTAGTTTTCAGAATTATCGATTACTTTTATTGATTTTATCGATTTTTTGTAAGTTTTGACATGCGAGGCTGGGATTTTGCACAGGGGGGTAATCGAGCATGCTGATTACGAACACAATATTAGTTTTCAGGATCGTCCATTACTTTTATCGATTTTATCGATTTTTTGTAAAGTTTGACCCGCGAGGCTGGGAGTTTGCACAGGGGGTAATCGAGCATGCAGATTACGAATACAATATTAGTTTTCAAGATCGTCCATTACTTTTATCGATTTTATCGATTTTTTGAAAATTTGAGCTAGGGGGCTGGAATTTGGCACAGGGGTGTAATCGAGCATGCTGATCACCCCCCTTGGGGATGATCAGCATGCTCGATTACCCCCCTGTGCCAACTCCCAGCCCCCTAGCTCAAACTTTGCAAAAAAATCGATAAAATCGATAAAAGTAATCGATAATCCCGAAAACCAATATTGTATTCGGAATCCCCATGCTCGATTACCCCCCTGCGCGAACTCCCAGCCCCGTAGCTCAAACTTTGCAAAAAAATCGATAAAATCGATAAAAGTAATCGATAATCCTGAAAACCAATATTGTATTCGGAATCCCCATGCTCGATTACCCCCCTGTGCCAACTCCCAGCCCCGTAGATGAACTCAGCAAAAAAATCGATAAAAATCGATAAAATCGATATCGATCGATGACGAAAAGTAGCCTATAACACCCGCCGGGGCCCGTAGCGTATGTGTGCCAAGTTTGGTCCGGATCGGTTCAGAAATGGAATTTTCTATTCGGAACATACGTACATACATACATACATACATACATACAGACAGACAAACAGACATTCAGCTTTATATATAAGATTTTCACTTCCTCAGCAAGTTTGTCAAAAAAATCTTTAGCTAAAAAACTCCAATCAAGAGCTGTTAGATCGAAAACATACCTCACGCGATTTCAGTCGCGACGCGATTCGGCAATACTCCAATAGTTCATAACTCATCAGGGGGTTTCTGAATGTGCGGAAGATAAAGCATCTTATCCATCTACAAAAGTTATACGTGCTGTTCCTTTCGGATCTACCAGTATTGAATTTGAAGATATCTGGCACACTGCAAATTGCGTGGCGACTAAAATCTCGTGAAGTATGCCTTGAGCCTAAGAGAGCACGATGTACTTCAGTGATAGGCTAGATTCGCTATGTGGCATTTGTTGCGCTGCCTGGTGTGTTGAACCATACAAATGTCAAAATAGGAAAAACCAGTGCCATTATCTTCTAACCACCCCAAAAGCCAAGATCGTCGTATAAATAAAGCACTTTTCTACAGTGAAAGAAACGCTGCTTGGCTGCACTCGAAAACACTTTTATGCGCACGACTGACGCAGATCTCGTTCAATGCATCCAAAGATGCATGCAAAAGTTGCACGATAATTCTGATTCTTCTGAGGAGAATTACTCGGAGGAGTCTGACGAGAATTCCTCGGACGAGTCTGAGAAGAGTTCCACACAGCCCTCCACAGGTAGACCTTCGACTGTCTGAGTTAATGCAAAGAATAAATGTCGTTGAACACTCTTGCTCACAATATTGATGACAAAGCTTAGAGTATCCTGCTCCGAGAACATCCATCACGTATGGCATCTTGATCGTATAGCATTTGGCCCTTCAATGATAAAGCAAGGCCGGCACAAGTTGATAGGGTTTTGAAACGCTAAATCCCTTAAAGTTCACAAGAATCTAGCAAAATTTTTTGACCCTCTTTAACCCGGTTTTTACATAAAATCAAGGACGAAAAGTTGAAATCAACGATATCGTGTGCCATGCGTCAAATGCCTACTAGGTTGCTGTTCTGTTTTTTTTTTTCGCCCTAGTGTGTATCTAGTGCCACTTCGCTTATAATTTTCTTTTTACCGATGTTTTTGTTTATAATGACATAGCATAAGAATAAATTTATTGATAGATATGAAAACTTCATGCTGCGTTTAAGATGTTGAGCTAAAGACGCATGTTTCCACGCACATAGATAACGAAACGTCATGAGATGTATAATGTTAAGTAAAGGTCACAACCCAATGAAAATGCGCTTACAACACTTCACGGCTCAAATATGTGTGCGCTGATTGATTTGTATAGAACTTCTCGATACATTCAACGATACAATAATAAACATAATGATAATCACAGATAAACAGTGAATAAATCACAAATAATCGCTACATAAGCAGTGAGCCGACGTAAGTGAAATATACTCGGTCTAAGGAAGAAAACAATGGAAGAGGAGTTTGATAGAGGGGCATTGCAAAGAAAATCAGTGAAAATATAGGAGAAAAAAGCGTCGACGAATGGTTCGACATCATATACGGTTGAAACACAGACGCACCAGCGTCGAAAGACGGACACAAACAAAACGAATGATATTCAGTCCGAACCATGTACGAAGAAGCTTCTGATAGAAAAACAGAGGGAAAATGCATGAAAATGACAGTGGTAGGAAGCGCGAGATATAGGGTAACTATACTGTGGTCCAAAAAATTGAACAATGTCTGTTTTGCTAAAATTAAATCTGCCTATTGTTATTTGGCACCCAAACGTACGGTCGCCCTTCAGCAGCAATGAGGTGCTGCACGCGACTGATGACTTCTTCAGCGGATTGTGCATGCGAGACAACGTCTAAATAATGATAAAATATTAGTGGCTGGTGCAAAAGTGTCGCACCTTTGAAAAATCATAACTTCTTGGCAATTTTTGCACAAATAAAATGTTACTAATGGTTAGAAGAAGCACACATTTTGCAAAAGTGCTTTTGCTGCTTTCTAACGGGATCACTTCAGTTCCGGTCATTTTTAATTAGGCTGCTAAAAAACTGAAAACTGAGATAAAACTCGGAGCAAGCAGTAAGTAATCCTTTTGACCCCCGACTTTTTCCAAATGGGCAGAGTTTGTGATAAATAAAAATCTTCTTGAAGGGTTTTAAGTAAGATATTTTGAGTAAGCCATACAAATAGCAATCTCGGTTTTTTGGCATTTTTTGCAAAAATCAAAACTCTTCAAAAAGATGCTCAATTGATACGAACTACAGTTGACGGTAGATCAGAAGACTTAGTTTACTGCTTGCCCTGAATTTTACCGCAAGTTTCAGATTTTTTGCAGCCTAACTGAAAGGAACGAAGGTAAAGCGATTATATTCTTCTATCTCAAAAGCTAAACCTTGTTAGAGCAGGGCAATACGATTTCCTCTAATTGGTGATGTTAAGTTTGTGCAAATCTGTCGAGTGGGCAAGAAGTTATGATTTTTCAAAAATGGTGCGGCAAAACTTTTGCACAAACTCAATACAAAAGATAGTACTCAAAAATTACAAGAAAGTGCATTACACTTAAGTGGACGAATAGGGCATTTGAAAAATCGTAACGACGGCGCGACCGCTCGCGACACGCACGCCACTTCCGAAAATCGCATTCTCCTGGTTTCCATCTCTAGTTGAATGGTTTTTTGCTTACATATGATAATATTTGAACACTGGAAGTGACTGAGCTGAACGTTGAGGTGATGCCTTCTTGTAGGAGCGTTTTATGCTAATGTGGGCGCAACCGTAGTAAAATCCGTCGTCACGATTTTATAAAGAACTATAACTTGACTCAAAACCGTGCCTTCTTCTTTACTGTTTTTCCAATTAATATCAGTATTCTTCAAAACTCATCTCTAAACAAAAAGTGGATTACAATGCACTTACGTGTGAATAAATCTCCAAACGTTTGCTCTAATCGCTGACATCGTTGAAATTGTTGCATGGCCTCGTCCTCGTTCAGTGAATGATCCAATTGCCTACAGTTTATTAGCAATCATTCGATGACTTTAGACTCAAGGGCATAACGCGAGATAATTGCTTTTCTTACATTATATGATGCTGACTGGTTGGCTTGATGAATATCGCAATCGGATAGATATTAGCAACTGACTGCAGACGTCGGATTGCATTTCCGCTTACATCCAGGATGCAATGACGGCCCTGAAACAATTACGAATATTCCCTGAAGTAAACAAATCAACAAGCAGTAGCTTACCTGCTGAGCAACCATTCTGACGCTATCGATACTGGTTCCATACAGGTTGTTTTGGAACTGACCAGCTTCGATGAAGAGGTTGTTCTTAACGTCGTGTTCCATTTGAGCTTTGCTGACAAAGTGATAGTCTCTGCCATCTACTTCATGCTCACGTGGCGGTCGGGAAGTGTCTGAAATTTCAACGAATCAGAAGGAAGATTTTCATAGAGAGCAATAACACAAGAGAAGATCGTGAACCACTTGAATGAGAAGTGGCGTCATATATGAGAACTAATTCACGTTATGCTTGAAAACGCCGGACCTCAAATTGAGGTAGTGAGACTGTAATGTAGTATGATAGCGGAGCCCATTACTAATCAATCGCCCAAGTCCCGCCGCAAAAGACAAATTCCGGAGCAAGAGAATCTCTCCACAAAGTAGAAGCGGCAGTGGTTGCTCCGCCCATCAATGTGGTCTGAAGACACAAGTTCAATGGGGCTTGAACGTATCACTGTTGAAAATCCTTCCTTTATCATGATTTTCAGACTTTCGACAGTTTTTGACACGTTTCAATCCAATTCGAATTTGTATCTCCAGTTGCACGTTGATGGGCGGAGCGACCACCATCGCCTCTACATTCTATGGCGATTTTCTCTCCCCAGAATCCATCTTTTGCAGCGTGACTTGGGCGAACGATCAGTTAGAGGCCCCGGTATTATACAGCATCAGAATCTCACCAATGTCAAAATGAGTGAACGGCGCTTTTGAATGAGAAGTGACGTCATTCATGAAAAGCTATGTCATGTTGTGCTTGATAGCCTGTGACAATGTGCAAATATCAAGTTATTACGACGCAAAATACAACAAACTTCGACATAAATTGCCATAAACGATGCACAAAACGCAAGATAGCTCTCCACCTGTGTTCGAAAAACGTCAAAATCTCATTACACCTCATGTCATAAACAAGGTAGCGAAAATTATGACATGTGTAACTTACGAGGAACACAGCTGCTGAAGCGATCTGGATTTCTGGTAACAAGTTCGTCATTGACGCGGTCTTTTAGTGCTCCAAGGATGATTACAGGGCGTACATAATTCACTAAATCACGATAAAAATGACTTTATACGAAACGATTTCCAAAAAACTCACATTGTTGTTGTTCCACAACTTGATACGAGAAAATCGGATCTTCCGTCACTCCAACTGAAAACACTGAAACTTAATAGCTCAGCCAACAGATTAGTACTGGAACAGCACAAAAATACCCGAATTATGTCAGGTAACTAAAGAAAACCATGCATTGTTTTCCACACTCAACCCAAGCGTTAATCTCAACGCTACTCACTAAAATCACTATCGCTAGTGTATGAAGTGTACGTGACCGTGGTTCCCGTCGCTCCTAATACAAGACAATAGTCATGATAATTATCACCAATTTGTCGCGGCTACTTCGTTGTTTTGCTCGTTGATTACCCTACGTTAACGATGCACATAATGGCTCGAACGTCGTATTCTCGGCAATTTGCCCTTACTCAAGGAAACAAGATTACGATGAAATTCTGCTCTCAGTGAAGTCGTTAAAACTTTTATGAGACGTAAAATGAGCGTGACTCAAGGTCTCAATCGATGACGGGAACTCACGTTCTTGGTCAGTGAACTCATTCAAACGCTCCGTGCTCTTCACGAATGGGAATTTTCGGGAAAATGAAAGCTGACTCTTGCTTCCACGTCTTCCATCCATTCCTGAGCTGCGTCCAAGCGACATTGAGCCAGCGTTGAAATTCACCTAAGGAAAAGATATAATAGATTTTGCGATGATGGTAATGAAATGATAATAATTAGAAAGGCAGAAACAATTATTTTCTCCAATCAAAAAAAAACTTTGAAGGATCTCCTGAACCAAAACATCTACCATTGCTTTTGCCACCTATCCATCTCAAAAGCTGGCAGAAAAAAAAACGGGAAAATTGATACCTGCTTCCGTCTAGCTCTTTCACGTTTTTCAATACGTTTTTTCGATGGAATCACACCTTCTTGGGTTTCCTCGCCATTCTCAAGCACCTGAAAACGATGACTTGAAAAATGTCAGACAAAAAGAGAATTCCTCTTCACCTTTTTCGCCGTCCACCAATCATCATCAGATGTATTCATAATGTGTAATATGTCACCATATTGGAAGGATATGGATCGATGCGGTACTCCGACCTCTCTTGTGTGATCATAGTCGAAGAGCGCTCTGAAGAGGTTTGATTAAGCCGATGAAGTGTCTCCAAGACAATGATGGCGACCGGTCGATATTCGATCGATATCAAACAAACAATCCAACTTTGCAAAATTCGCATAATTGGATCAATCAGTGCCCCCAAAACTTGCAGACCCTAATCGCATAACGTCTGACTCACTTCACGAAAAGATCCTTGCGTGGAAGAGTCCCACCAGCCGTGTTCTGCTGAATCATATCATTCCGTAATCGTTCAATTTTCGCTTCGAATTGTTGGTAGTCTGGAATGAATCAAAAGCAGATGCTAAGCCCTGCCAAACTCATTTTAACATTCAAAGAGTATGGTGCTTTACTGCGAAAATCGCATTAGTAATTAATTACAGAGCAAAAAATGATGCTAAAGATATTACAGCATGGTTAGTGTGAGATAGCAGCCATTCACTGCCATTTTTGCTATACTGAAAATGCTACAAAGGACGGAAAAGCAAAAATTCCAAAAGCTTCACTCAAAAAATTTTGAATACGTTACAGAATACCTCCAAAAACTATCCCAGAGACGGGATTTTGCTGAGCTAAAAAAAATTACGAATCGAAACACCATAGCAATACGAAAATTCTATTAAAGCAGGGCATGAACTGAGCATTTTGCTAAGGAAAAGCTCGTTATGGTGCAAGTTTTGATTGTAGGATGAGAGAACAAAGGAAAAACTCGAAAAATGTTGCAAACTATCAAAAATGGGATTTTCGGACTAACTTAAATAAAACTAACCGTGTGGTCTATACTGTAACGTAAGGGTCACAGGATTTTGAGCATTCTTTAGTGCTTCCGCGGCTTGCGAATGGGTTGCATTGCGAAGTGAACGTCCATTTACTTCCAACAAAACATCTCCCTATGAGCGGCATTGATATGCAAAAGAAAAAGAAGGACGCATAAACTTAAGAAAAATACGATAAGACCAAATTGATACCTTTCTAACATTTCCACTCAGATCTGCAACGCCGCCTGGCAATACGTAGCTGATGTAGATTGGCTCATTATCCTCACCGCCAACAATATTAAAGCCTAGGCCCTAAAAGCAAATAAATTATAGAGACGTTCGAAGGGCAGAACTTAAAGGAAGAAATTGATAAAAATTTACCTGATTTCCCCGATAAAGCGGTACAGGTCTCGGATCCATCGTTATGGGCACCTGGACCGGCCCACCGACTGGCGCTTGCGGACCTCCGTAGGATAATGCCGTCTGGGAATCGAATGAACGATTGAAATCTTGCATCGAGCTAGCTGTAAACAATTTCTTTTTTGGTATCAAACAGTTGCTCTTTTCCCATCACCATAAATCAAATCACATACATCGCACGGGTGCTGAAACTGGATACTGAGGGGTGGTCGAGACAAATTGGCGACTTCCTGTTTCTTCAACTGTTCCAACGCTAACATTCGGATCTGCTTTGAGCACTAACAATGACACTTTAGTTCCGGTTTGTTTCAGCACATTGACAGCATATTCATGCGTTACATTTTCCAAAACAACATCATCAACCTGAACAGGATAAAATACGCGGATAGGATAAGCCAAGGCTATTAGAAAACGAGAAATCTCAAGCTACGAAGGACCCACCGCAAGAATTCGATCTCCAACTCCTAAGCGTCCATCATGATAGGCAGCTCCTCCATCTATGATTTTTGTGACATAAATGTCTGTATCTCCAGGCACATGCTCATTTCCAACTCCACCAGCAATTGAGAAGCCAAGTCCGCGTTGACCCTGGATTGAAAATCACTAGAACTAGAAAGAAATTGTAAATCAAAGAATTTGATCAGATTGTTGACATGCGGAAGGAATAAGGAATAAGGAATACGTCAGGATGAAAAAACTTCATTTTCGAGATCAAAAATAATTTCCAATCTTTTTGGCGAGTAGTGTGCTACTTTAAGCATATGTGTGCTAATTTGCAAAACTTTCAAATTCGAAAAGGCAAGATCTGATCCGTCCAAAAATATGGAAAATTATAAGAAAATAATTAAGCAAGCACGTACAGCTGGATGATGCATACCTTGTAAAGGTCAATGGTTTGAGCCATTCTTGCACGTGAGCTCAATCCTACAGGCAGTTGTTGGACTTGATGCAAATGAGTTTGCGATCCACTATGAGCAGGTGGAGGTGGTGGCGGATAAGCCGGAACACTTGGTGATAGATTTGGCCTATAAAAAATTAAGACTTAAAAATCTCTGGTCCTAGATTTCAAAAAAAGCACTATGAATCTGTTACCAAACGAAAACAAGAAAAGAAGAAGGCAAACTCACCCTTCATATCCTCGAGAAACATTGAGGGCTCCCATTGACGATGTAAGATCGCTTCTGTTCAGATGGCTACCAGACCCTAAGGGTGCGCGTTCGATGGGGAGACTCATGTCTTCGCGGCGTCGTTTCAAGGTCTAAAAGTAATCGGCACGTGAAATTAACATTTATCATTTGGAAAACAGGCAACTAACCAATTTTACAACATTCCCTGCCGTCTTCAGAGCATTCACAGCAACTTCATGAGGCACATTTACGCAATCAGTGTTGTTCACTTTCAAAATCTTATCAAATTTCCTGAAATGTCAACATAGAAAGAGAATGACTACAGTATCGGTAACAAAATCTAATGGACATTGCCACTGAGAAGATTTCATATAAATGACACAAACAATAGAACTGGACTCACTTCATTCTTCCATCAGCAGCTGCAGCACCACCCATAATTATATTTGTGACATAAATAGAGGTGTCACCATCCTCAGCTGGCTGATCAGTGCCTGAAAATAAACAAATGAAAATTTCATTCAAAAAAAAACCAGAGGGACCTGAGGTGGCTAACACTCGCACTCACCTCCAGTAATGGAAAAACCTAATCCGGTCGTTCCCTTCTCAAGTACAACATCTTCAATTTCCCATGCTCTTCCCATGCTATCAATGACTCCATTGTGCTAAAACAAAATATAACAATTCAAAGACAGAGAATTTACAAAAATTGGATTAGGAAGAGCGTACAATGAAAAAAGCCAAGTAAAACATCCAAAGAATTCCGTTTTTTAGAGAGGATGAAACAAGTTTCGCTAATCTTTAGGAAGAAAAATTCGTAAGATAATATCTCGCGATAAAAATATATACAAGGACAACAAGTAGTTCTAAATTGGATTTAGATCGACAGTGACGAGCAGACTAACACGACAAAGAAGTGAGCGAGCGAACAAATTGAAAGAACTACAAAAGACCTTTTAACTTTCAACTGGGAATATCATAAAATGAGAATGAGGTAAGGATTAAGCTATTTGGCTGGTTTCAAGTCAACTGTGTTTTTATGAAGATACTGAACAAAAAGCTATGTTTTGCGAACATAAACAAATAGAATAAAGGGTTTCTAAACAACAGTGAATGCAAATAAACGGAGACCTTAAATTTGCGTTGAAATGTCAAAAGTGGAAAAATGGTGGATCAATGTAAGCAAACAAGGAAACAATTTAAAGGTATTTTCTTCCGTAGTTTTTCCGTAAATAATAACCATGACCCTACTCAGGGAAAAAAGTTATGTAAAAATCAATAAAAACGACATTCTTTGAAAATATGGAAATGGAATTCGTCATAAAAGCATGGAATAAAGGGTGCCATAAACTTCAAGACCATACTCAATTTATTACCCACCGTAACGGACTGTTTTTGTACACCACCTGGTCCATCGAATGTGCGCGTGGTCGTTTCGCTCGTTTGCCAGCTGCCATCATTTGTCTGCAATAAATTACTCTTAATGACAAACGCTGTGAAAATGCCTTTGAACCCTACTTACAGCTGGACCATCTCCACTCACAATTTGGCGGAATCTTTCATGAACCACATGACTCGACGAGTAGGAATTTCCGCTTCCAAGCCCGTTCTTGAACGTATACCTTACGGAGTTAAATCAAAAGGAAGTAGATAAAAAGTTACCTCAACTGTAGCCAGTGGGGCTGTTGTATGTGTTGGTACGTAAGCGTGGTCGATTCTTGTGGAAGACGTAGATCCAAATGGTGGATTCGCATCCAAGCGTCGCGCCATATCTTTCGATTCGGCAATCTTTTGGAAGATAGACTTGCGTTCATTGAGAAGTGTCTCCTCATAGAACTCTTGCAGGTCTAAAGAGAAAAAATCATACAAGATTAAAATGGAAAAAGAACGAGAATGAAAACATTAAAAAATTCACAAATTACCTAATAACGCTTGGAACAGGCTGTTTTTGAATGTGGTTATCACACGTTCTATAGCTATTCGGAGTTCATCATCTCCTGGACGAGTAAGAAGAGCGTGATACTCTTCTAGTAGTTCCAACGCACGGTACGCTTCTGAATTAAATTGATTTGAGATTGCCCATTCAAAGTATAAGTAAAAAACAGAAAGATATTCTGTTCCAAAAAAACTTGCTAAGCCCAGCACTTGGTTGAGCATAATTCAGGGACTTGTGATAAATCTTTCCGCGACTCCACTTAGGAAGTCAATTTTACTGCAACCCATCTTTCAACTTTTTCGAGAGGAGAAACCGTTTTCATTACTTCCATGCCAGAATGATTCTCCTGAGTAACCGTCAAGTTTCACCAAATAAATCATGCGAAACAAAAACCAGCACAGAAAGTCAAAATATTATCGCAACCCATCACAGAACCCAACTTATCTGCACTTTCATCAAGTGCACATAAACGCTTTTTGTCGCTCCTTGCTAGCTATGCGATATATTTTATAACCTTCTACTTCAAAGCCGCACAAAGCACAACCCAAGAAGAATGCACTTTTTCCCAAAAAGCAATGCTAAAGCAAATATTTATAACGCTCAGCACAACCATAGCTCGCCCAGACGTCGCGACTATTTGCTCTACAATGTGCACGCTTCTTGCGCCAAATCACGGATGAGTTGCTTCTTTGGAAAGGATACACATCGCTAGCACTCAGACAAAGACCATACTAGTCTAGCGGGCATAAAATTATGCCTCTTGCGGTATAGCTAGAAAACCGGCTATGTAACAAAAAATCTGCCCTTCCCTAAGGTTTTGAAGTAAAACGGAGTTGGCGACTAATTCTGTTCTCAAAAAGCACAGCTAACTCACAGAATGTTCATGATGTAACCGGTTTGAGCTGAGAAAGCTAAAAACTCCTAACAATCCAGCACATAAAAGAAGTAGTGTGCATTGCTCCTATGAAGCATGGAACCGGAATCAGATGGGAAAATAATGACGTCACATTTTTTGCAAACGTCTTTGCGGTGAGGTGTATGAAGGTAGAACGGTGTTATTTGTGTAAAACGAGTCCTGCTTTCTCAATCTATTTTACTTCAAACGAAAGCAAAGCCTACATTGCTCACCAGGAAAAAACAAATTTGCAACCGTCACTGCTTTCGTCATAAAAGAAAAAAAATGAGAAACAAGACGCCCAATACCACAAATAAATAAATAACGTCGTTCTCATATTTCAATTATGTAACAAGAAGAGCAAATGTAATATGATACTTATTGTCACATACCACTTTGCATCCATGCTTGTTTTTATTCGCGGTCTCTCAAAATGAGAAAGTCCAGCATGACGGAAAAATGACAAAAAAATGTGCTTGGACTGACAGAAGTCACTTGAGTGAAAAAATCCTGGTAGTCATTCAAAATTCCAGCACCTACTAATCAAATTTTGCTAATATCCGAAAAAATAACCAACAAAATTTTCTTTCACACTTTCACAATTTTTTTGTTCATTGAAAATTGGATTATTATGGTCCCTGGGAGCCAGATTACGTCGACACCTATTTTCACCTCTACTGCTCTCTGAAAGTGCAACACTCAGTGAAAAAAAGATAATTGTCAAGCAGATTCAAAGGTATGAATGCCAAAAGTTCAATACGTAATTAACAAAAAAATCAATAGTTTCACTCCACCGAAAAAAGAACATAAAAAATAAGGAGTATCAAGTACGAAAAGAAGCTTATGAAGTTGAGCAGGTGATACAATCCTTACCATTTACACCATAAAAAAAAAGCTTTTGTCATAAATCAGACTCCCTTCCCCCTCCCCCTCTCTCATGAACCATAGGGTATCCAAAACTACTCAATGACATCCAGACCAATGTTTAGAATTTTTTACCATTTAGAATCAGCATCATGCTTGATTTCACATATTCTCGGATGCATGACAAATGCACGCCACCGCAATATCCAGAGACTCCGATACCACAATAAAAGGGTTGAACCACTGAGTTATCGAGTTTGCGTTGAGAGTAAGAAAAAACGTTTCTGTCTAACCTTCCATTCGGCAATGCATCGATGTGAATACATCATAAAAACGAAGCGGAGGTTTCGAGTTGTTCGGCGCATCGCGATCGACACGTTCGATAAACATGCCACATGCACCTTTACATTGACTTCGAAGTATCGGCGAACGACGATGATATTTCATATGACGATAGGATTCCATTGAATACTCAGCTAGGCATAAAGCAGGGGCGCGATGAGTAGCAGAATCAGTCAGTCAGGTTATGCTTAATCAACAGAGCAGAGAGCTGTCAGGACAGACGTGCTCTAATTAGGCAACACGGCTGCAGAGATTCTAGACTGCAATATACGAAGTTCTGAGACGTAAGTGAAGCAGGCAAAGCATCGTTGACTGATTGTCATACCAACCTAGCTGTACTGGAAGCTGCGGACAGCAGTTACGCTGACAGCGCGTGTTCGAAAATCGCAACGCTGTCAACAGCTGACTTGAAAACATGAGAGCCCACAACTGTGTGGTCAAAGGGATCTACTATCTCAGTGAGCTGTTACAGCGATTTTGACACCGAGTATGCGGGGAACTTCAGCTGATCTCGCACTTATCACAACGAAAAATTTACGCCAACTGGCGAAGTGTGGATTTTGCAGGACCACGTCGAGCAGCCCAAGTCGAGCAGTCCTCCTCCCCCCCCCTCGGACATTTTTCGAAATCGGGCAGTTAATCACTGCTGCTCAGAGTGCGCTGATTAAGAAAGGGCGCTCCGTGTAAACAAAAAAAAACTGCATTTTGGGCGAGGCAAATGGCCACATAACTCACCATCAAAATGGGTTCAAAGGAAGTGTTTCACCCATCTGTATGGTGATGGGCTCATCAGTCGCACGCGTTCCTCCTACCCAGCATCATCAGCACCAAAAAACAAATCCACATTTTTATGAACCCCGAAACACATGGAGAAGCAGACATTAAGAAATTCAAAAAAGTGAGAGCTGCCAGCACTTCTCCTTGTTAAACGAATGCCTAGAAAGAAAAAAGAAATCTTCCTTAACCTAAGCGTACATGCTCAAACTTCAAATTCTCGTTTCTTATGAAATGACCAGTCTACCCCGTCCCCCTAACACTATTAAACTATCGAAAAATGCAGAGTGCAGTCTTCAATAAAATTCCAACACACATTGATAAATCGTCCACGTGGTGAAGTCAGATGTGCTTTGAGTAGAAAAACATGAGTGCAAAATCAAAAAGATCGATGGATAGTGAAAGATTCCGATGGAATGTATAGATAATCTCAAACTCGGGGAAAGACTGTTGATCTGGTACTATCTGCACATCACTCACTATACAGATGCATCACATTTGCAGAAGTTTGCAATAATTCTACCTCGGAAAAACTTGAGAAGTGTATGAAGATAAAAGAAACCACCTCTTTAGTGACTTAGTTCAAAAAGTAGAAGTTAGCTACGGTAATTGGAAGATTCGTCATGGGCTTGCCTAATAATGATCTCAATGAATATTCTAGGACTACTTTCATGGAAGCTCTCGCGGAATTTTTTATAACATCAATATTTCAATTCGAAGAAATCCATTCGAATTTTTCTACAAAACCCCTAGCTTTCTACCACTCCTCTCATACAATCAAACACGTGCCAAATGAAATGCAACCGCCGTAAAATTCTTCTATTTTAAGCTATCGTCAACGTGAGTTATGCCTTCCGCTAGCTTTTCGTGATAGCTGAAACAAAGATAACGAAAAAAAGATAGCAAGCGCAGCGATGTGGAGCCGAAAAAAACTCGCACAACAGAAAGGTCGATAGCGTGTACACAAAGGAAAAAAGGGAAATCGGATTGAATTTGGAACTCTATTACGCACGAATAAAAATGCATTTACTATGACTGGACACAGAAAAAGGCAGAAATGGAGCTAGAACGGAAAAAATGAAGCAGGTAAAAAAAAGAAAAACTTTATGTTTCATTCCTAAACAACATAGTACGCTACAAACTGAAGAAGAGGAATACTTAGCCTTGACGTAAACTTATTGCTCATAAAATCAATTTATGACCATGTACACTCGATTTATGATCATTCGTTGCCAAACGTATAGTGAAGTGGTCTCTTTCCTTATATAGCGCACGTGAGGTAGAATGAACGAAGAAAACAAAAATCTGTGGTAGAAGACTGACTGACAAAATAAGGAGAAACAAAAATTGGAAAATATGAAGATGTGTAAAGGATAACATTATGTGTTAGAAAAGCCAACATTTAAAACAAGAGAAGACTGCAAGAGAAAAATGGTAATTTAAGCCAAAACTTGCATTGTATCCAATGATACCATCACTAGCAAAATCCTCAAAGTTCCCAAAAAGCAGAAAATCAGCCTCCTAAGTTATTTTCCCAACCTCTTGTGCCTATCATTGAGTGCACCATTATATAACTTCACGAATGACCTTTCTAATTTCGCGGCAACAGCGTATATCCCCCAAAAATCTCCAGCCAATATTCCCATACCATTCGATGGCCTTCATAATCGATACCCATTAATCGTTGCTAGGGTGCAAATCTACGTATAATCTAGGAAAATCTCAAGGACAATGACGTGACTCAGCGGGTGGTTTTGGTTGGTGCGCGACCAGATTCTACTGACACTAATCTTCCTCCTAGTACTCATACTCTTTTTTTTCTTCTCTCACCTCCAGAATGGCGAACCGGCATTGTTCTGGTCTAGAGTCTCTAGACTACACGCACTGTCAACACAGTCACAAGCACGACGGAATTTGACGACCTGCAAAGGAGGAAGTGTGTAATAATTAGATGAACGGCAATCGGAACGTGTACGGATAAAAAAAAAACGGCCAAAGATTGGTTCAAACTCGAACACTAGCGGAATGCGTAACAATGAAAGAATAACAATGGTTTGTCGTCGAACGAAAAAGCTATTAGTCACAAGTGTTCGGCTGCTAGCTAGCTAACTTCCGTGAATCAAAATGTATCGATTGGAATTCACACAAAATCCATAGAAATGGAACAAAATGAAATGGTCCACTATAAAAAATCAATGCTCTTCAATCCCTATATGATGCGCAATGAAGAGTATGATGAGTCACCAAGGCTATTTTAGGCTACGACACACGAAGAAGATTGCGCGAGGTTGGCGATGCGGAAAGTCAGCAAACAAAAGCTGTTCGAAACAGAACTGTACAGCAAAATAGAGTCTATCGGATAGTGAAGGAGAAAAAAGTGCGCTTCGAGAGGGTGATGAAGTGGAATGCATCGTGACAGAGCCCGATGACGGAGCGAGATATCGATGTAAAATTCGTAAAATGTGCCGAAAGAATGCAATGGAGAAAAAACTCGAGAGCAAAGAACGAAGAAGTGATTAATTGACGGAGAATGGGTAACAAATAGATGCGGGAACATTATGCGAAAAAAATAATATAAAAGGATAACCGAACTATAAAAAAGGCTATTGAAAAACGAAAAGTCACTGTATGAACAAACTTGCCAATTTTTGAAAATTGTCCAAGCTCCGCCCACTGAATAAACTGTCCTCAAGCTGATCACAAACCGCGACTAAAAGTATGTGTATAAGGTTTGTGACGGAGTGACAGCGTCTTCGTTGCCGACGATTACAGATGAGCGCCGATAAGGACAGACACACACACCGCGCTCACAACGCCGAGCGTACCCCCCCCCCTGCGTCGCTCGCGCTCTAGCCCGCCTCCAGCACCGGCACCACCGCCGCCACCGCCACCACACCGTCCACGGCGACGGCGGGGTGACGGCGCGACGGGGGCACAGGTGTAGATGAGGGGAGCTGAGCGCGAGCGGCGGAATTGTTCCGTCGTCGTCGTCGTGGTCGTTACGCTGCGTCTCTGCACTCCGGCCGATCTCTCTACAAAAATCTCTGCGTGTCCGACCTCCGGGGTCGTCCACTACAGTGGCTCACAAACTAACAGCACAGCACACCGCACACGTACCTCTGTCTCTCTTCATCTCACCACCTCCTAGGTCGTGCTGCACGACCTCCACTGAGGGTCAAACATACACGGGGCGATGGTGATCTGATGGTGCAAGAGGGACATATAAACATTAGCTGCCAGAGGTGGCTGGCTAGTAGAAACGGCTGTTTCGAGGCGAGACAGCCGGGCAGCTGTTCGCGAAAATTTTGCAGAAAATTGAAACAAAACGAAACTATACAAAATTTGCAAAAATAAAGAAAGAGACAATTGCAAAGTTTTGGAAGATCTGATGAATAAACGAAATTTGTAATGAAATCCAAGACATTCGATAACAACAGACACAGGAAGTTCAAAAAATCACAGAAAGGATTTTGAGCTACCTGATCGAAAGGTGAAATGAAGCCCAAAACCTTAAACTCGGTTTTATAGGAAAAATACGCTAAAATCTGGAAGTAGCAGAACAATGCTTTCCTGCATTGAAGAAAGTTTTGCATGAAAGTACTCTACTCCAAAAAAAGCTGGAAAAAAATAATGAGAAAGTGAAGTTTTTTTAGAGGGGCCAATAACAGAATGAGTCTTGCCAAAACTTACTTTACTCCAGAAAAAATGATTTGAACTCACTTTCAACTTGCAAAGAGACTTTTGTTGAGGATAATGAAAAAACTAATTTTTTCTTTGGGAAGGCTTTGACTGAGACTAAGTGAGCAAATGACGTTGTAAGAACTGGAGAAAATATCTGAAGCAATCAATTCAAGGCAATAAAGAAAGATTGAGTACGCCGCTCAAGAAATTGCAGACTGGAAGGATATCAGAAAAAACCATTGCAAAATAGTCACAAGGGAATGAACAACATCTGGAGCGAGGAGATAACGTTAAAAGGTTTTCCGGGAAGATCTCTGCAGCAATATGACGCAGTGATTGCGAATTACTTTATGCGCAAATGACTGGCGATATTTTATGGCATGCACAGTTTGCTGTCATCAGTAATACATTTTCTTCGAAAACTGTAAAATCAGAAAATGAGAAACGTTGATGATGAATAGGCACTTATGATGAAAGATGCTGCACTGATAAGAAAACATTTGCCGAAAAAAGTCTGGAAATGGCATCCACAACTTTCAAACGAGAAATAAACCGTGCAGAATCTCAAATTTTATAAATTCAGATAAGAGGAGAAAAAATCTCAAAGTTTCAAAGCAAAGAATTTGGTGTACAGTTCGGCTTATCTCGAAGAGCAGGATTCATCTTTTGGCAAACAACAACGGTGAAGAGCATGTGCCGACTAAGTGATGCATTTTGCCCTGTGTAAAGCTGATAAGAAGAATGCAAAGAACTTACGCAAATAAAAAAAATCAGAAAGAGACAAAAAAATGGTTGAAAAAAAAACTCACGGAAAGGCGAACGCGCGCACACGGACAGTTCTACGAACGCGCAAAGGAATGGAGATGAGTCGTCCACGTCGTCCTTGGCAGCAGGCCAACGCGACCCGCCCTCTACTAAACACCGCTATACCACTTCGCCAACGTCGTCAACGTCAAACGATCGTTGACCTTGACTAAATATAGATGCGGCGTCTAGGTATTGCTATTATGCGAGCGCTTATCGCAAAAAAGCGAAAAAAGACTGCCTGTACTAAAAAAACATTTTCCAAATAGAAATGCGACTCGATTGACAAAAGTTCAATCTTTCTTTCAAGACCAACATTGTGCTGCTTTGCAATTACCCCAAAGAAGAAACCCAACGAACAAAAACGCTGCACACAAGTGGACGCGCTCCGACTCAAATGAATTGCGCGCCGTTGCAAAACGAACCGAAATTTGACGCCGATTACCGTAGACAACACGATCATGGGAAGCAGCAGGACACAAAAGATGCAAAGTGGGTGCTGCAAGAAAATCTCTTCTCCCATTCCCCGCCCATTCCCCAAAAAAGATAGAGGAGTCCTAGTCATATTTTCGACCACGACTGCAGACTGTTCAGTCCGTGCTTCCAAAAAATTGTTGTACTAGTTTCTAGTTTGCATTTGCTTACCTCAACGGAAGCTAAAAATAACAATAGGAGTAAGATGATGGACAAACAAAAGCCGCTATGACAACTGCTAACATCAAAAACAACAAAAAAATGGACCGGAACTTGTATGAAAAACATTGTCTGGGGTTTGCTTCCGATTTGTCCCCAAGTTGCCCAATTGAGAAGCTTTCAAGGAAATAATACCAATCCAAGCTCTAAGAACTGAGAGGATTCTGCTATAAGAACACACAGCCGATTGCAGAAAAATCCGGATTTTAGACAATGAAGAGTTTCTCATGTAATTATATGAATAATGTAAAGTCCTATATACTCTTAAGTATGGATGATTATGAGCGCAAGGTCTAACCCCAAACGATGGCGGATGGTTTATCGCTGTAAGACGAACGCGAGCGTAGCGAGATTGTTAGGTGCCAGAGTAAGCGAATATTTTGTACAGGTTGGGGTCCTGTGCAGAGTTGGCGTCACTTGGAATGATGCCACCATGATGAGGGACGTCAATTCTGCGCGGGACCCCAACCTGAACAAAATATTCGCTTACTCTGGCACGGAGGGCAAGCGTTAGGCGACAAAACGTGCAAAACGCCATCAACGTAAAGCCCGTAAGTCAAAACCATGTGCATTTTCTTGATGGCGTCCAGTAATGTATCGGCCCCGACCCCCACCCCCCTGTTTTTGGCGGAGGAAACGTTTTGCACGGGGAGTTACTTGAGGTCCACTCACGGTGCTCCCCTTATATGGACATCCGCCTTGAGGTTAGGCTTTACATGTGTTGTTAGCGCCGCGGTAATTGTGTGTAGAAGACTCCTGCCACCAGAAGTTGTGAGACGCCTCTGAGTCGTAAAAGATGTGGGCGTTGATAAAAAGCGGTTAAGCGACTAACTTTGGTGTTGCGCTTTGTACGCTTGCACACAAAGATAGGAACTTTAGCACTGTAGATTCATTATTTGCACATTTCGTCATGAGAAGCCAAAACAAAATTATCTAACAGAAGTCTTTGGTGGACAAAGAACGCATTTCCCACGAGATACGCCCATGTATAGGATCAGTGCATGCAGTGTGCATGTTGGTGCAACCACACTATTCAATCACGACATGGCGCGCGACTGTAATCGCGTGCATGCTCTTTTGCCGCTGTCTGTCACATTCCCATCAGAATGCGAAATTTGGAATACATTTCGATAAAAATTAAATCATAGGAATGCTTTGAAAATGAATTCTCTGCTGCCCCATTGCTTTCTCAGTGACTGCGAAAACGCGAATTTTTGCGAGAAAAACAATGCACATGAATATTCATAAGCATCCATAAAATTCAAAGATAAATGAGTATTTCGTTTTCTTGCATGCGAAAAATTGCACGAGAATTACGGCGATAACTTTATGAGTTCCATGAATTCTCCCGGTGAATTGATTGCATTTTTGAGGTGGCTTGCACCTAAATTATTGTATTTACTTGCTAATTCTATCACTAGCCACAGTTGTGTGTACTCTCACTCTTTCGCGGGTGACATCTGTCATTTTGGCGAACGGGGCTGATGGTGTTACCGCACGCTCCAGGGATGTGCCGACACCCTTTTGGTGTGAACAGATGTTGTATAACATAATGACAGAAGCGACTGTAGTAGGCTGACGGCTGACGTTGACTCATACTTTGATAGAGATTCCGGTGACTTAGTGAGCTTGCACTATATATCTCATTTGCGCGTAGAAAATGGGCATGGAGCGCACACCCTCTTTTTTGCTTTGTGTTCTTGTCTTCGTTCCCCTTTTTTCAGTTTTTGGCAACAGCGACCAAAAGAAATAAACAGTAAGTTAGGGACAACTGTTTAAACAATACATGAAAGTAGTGTTTTCCATTGTTTGAAACTTTCAGCGCGCTCCTTTGTTATTTTTTACGCGCAAGTGTGATCAGGGGTGTACGTGCACTATAATGGATAATGAGTTCAAAGTTTGCTGAACTATTCTGTGGATGTGGACGTGAAAGTTAGCACTTAGCTATCATCAAGTGAAACATCAAATAAAATTTTTAGAAAAAAAACCCGTGCTCATCATGATTATTTCCAACGAAATCAATGACTATCGTTTATCAAAAGCAAAAACATAAATTTTTCTTACTGTTATATATACGTTTTGAACTTTTTGCTAGAAAAAGGAAATTTTTGCTGAAATGATTATTAGAGTCAGATTCACAAACTTTTTTTTCACGTTTACAAAACATTCTTACGTTCAAAACATTATCTGCGCTAGTGCTCAGAAGTAGTTAGAATCTGTATGACATCGTTTAGACACGACTCCATATTTTATTTTGTTTATTTTATGCCGTGGAGAATTATCTGCAGTAGTGAGCTCTACTATTCTCACCCGCTTCATAAGATGCACTAGAAACCAATTTCGTTGCAGAAATAATTAGCGTGTAAATTTCAAAGTGCTTGAAGAGACAAGTTGATTCTGAATTATTTTGGTGCTGTGAGTCATTCTTCCCTATTATTTCATACTCAGAAATGATGTACGTTTAAAGATAAGATCTAGGTGACGGGGATGTTGAGAGTGTGCCTGCCTTGGACAAGATAGAGATTTACGGTTAGGTACGGTTTATTTAGTAAAAAGAAAATATTGACGTAGAAGTAGAGAACAAATGACTACAGGTGTACCGTTTATGACCTTATAAGACACTAACTAGTTGGAAGCTAAATCTTCAATGTAAAGTATATTAATGGAATTTGAATGTGATATTCTGAAGATGTGCCAATGGTAGGAAAGAAATTTCTTTACCAGTTCCCATGTGGTTTTGGGTGATGCAGTTACCATTTTTCTTAGCACCTCTCCATTTTTTCCTTTCTTAAATATACTTGATCCACAAAATGTGCCATCCCAAAATTTATCGAGCGCTGGTTGCATTTTCAAAATCTGATTTCGATTTGTGAAATAATAAAAAAAAATTGTTAAAAACTACTACTACATACAAACTACATGATCGCTGCTATCCTACACCGATTCTACTACCTTTGAGTGATAGTTTAAAGAGAGTTTACTTGCCATTATTGGCTGAAACATGAAAAAATAGAGAGAGGAGCAGAAGGAGATTAAAAATTGCTGACATTTTTTAGTTAAATTTTTTCCAAAATTATTCAGATTTATCTCGTAGCTGGATATGCACTTCCCGATGGCAATTCCAATATATATTGTTAGTCAAGAAATTTTTGCATGTATGGTAGTCGCCCCAGGAACACTGGGTTCACCCATCTCAAAAATGACGTTTCACTCGGGATATAGAGTAACCAGGTGTGAATAAAAAGCATTACTTTCCATACCGCTCTCGTTGACCCTGAACTACCCGAAAAGACCACTTGGTGTTCCCACGAACCTATCTTAGCGACTCACAAATTTCTCTGCGAGCTTTGTGCGTAAGCATGTGCGCTGATGTTACGGCACATTTCACAGCGGATGACACATCAATCACAAATGTCGCAAGACTAAACTATACGAAACGGAGAGAATACATGCTATTGCGAGCCATTTCGCTAAGTTCGCCGTTTAGCGGATTGGAACGTAGCCGCGCTTGCACATAAGCGTGACCATAGCGATGCGGCGGTGCCGCTCGGCCGAGTTTTCGCTTGGTGAAATCTGAGCCGATTAAAAACACGGCACGGGGGCACGGAAATAATTATGGACGTGGACGTAACGAACATGGACACCTGATATATTGGAGCTGACAGGAAGCGTCAGCGAACAATAGTAGTTATAGGGGAGGGAAGGTCCGTTTGGGGAAATTTGGGAAGAGCTGAGGGAGAATCGATGAGAGACAAAGGTAAATATTGGTGTGTCTACCTGCCGAGAGCCTATCCGTCGTGTTTGTTCACTTAGATATCCGCCAAGGGACCATCTAGGCACTTCCAAAGTGCAGCTAACTCATTTATGGGGTATTCTTGCCCAGATAGCAATTTATCCAGGGTTTCTATAGTAACGCAAAATTACAGAAACGTTGACCTTGGTGGCGAGATAAGCTGCTTACAACAATTAGCATAGTGAGGGCAAGAGTTGTAGGAAATGAGACCAGTAGTGCACCTACGACTCCCTCCCCCCCCCTCGAAGAGATTTTGGACAAAATTAATGCCTCCACAGTTCAAACTGAACCCGCGCATATTTTGACAAGACCCGTGATGTGCCGGGTGAAAGGAGCAAATACATGGCTTTGGTTTGTGTGTACGGGGTGGGCGATAAGAAGACGCTGCTGTCCTTTGGACTGATTAGAAACTAGCTTCAACCCGATAGAACCCTTAACCAAACACCTGCTTATACTTTTGATGCCAAATCTTTCGTTTCAAAAGAGCAATGAGAAACTTGAGGTGTGACTAATGATACGAGGACGCGTATTAGTCAATATCTTTGACAAATTTTTTTGTATTCTTATTTTTGCATGTTCTGTATGCTCAAGTGAATTTGTGGTTCCAGAAGTGAAATTTTGTTAAGATGATAACACCCACAATTGGTTTGCGTCGTTGCCCCCCCCCCCCTCCCTTAAAAAACTAAGAGAAATCTTACCACGCCTCTCAAAAAGAAATCATACATCTATAAAGTCCCAAATTCTGCAAGTTTAGAAAAATTCATCCTACCCTACGTTTCAGCTTTCATCTGGGGACTTAGGTAGTGATTCTCTCATGCAGAAAAAAATGTGAAGGGGAAAAGTCATAAACAAAAATAGTGACAGATTTCATCTATCAATATCCCTCGTATTTCTTTTGCATTGCTTCGATTCAAAGGAAATAGCATCAAAAGTACAGTTTTACTTAGAAGATGACATTCACGGCGTCTAAGCTGAACGCTGCTTTCGAAGAAAAAAGTTGGAGATCTGTTCCTTCCCCGCCCCCCACCCCTCCCCCACATATTGAGAAAATTTCTCTGACAGCTATTGCAGCAGGACGATTTTTCCCATGAATTTCAAGTCTTGAAAACTGTTTTTTTTTTACAAAATCCATTCGGGCTTGGAATATCTGCCCGGATTCCATTCAAGATTATTAATAGCGACTCTAATTTTGAAAACCTGATGTACTAAGATAATTTTCTTTTATTGAGCAAAAAGTCTATTTGCTGAAAATTTTATTCATTCAAAATCGTTGCTACTTGTCAAAAAACCGAAAGGAGTTGATAGCTAAAAATCATTTGATAATACTTTCAAAACTCAGTAAACTAGAACCACATGAATCATACCAACCTCATCGAACGATAGACTAGACATCTAGGCCAACAACTACTGTGTTTTATAAGACTCTTCGACGCAAAAGTTTATTTGTATTTACATGATGACTCAGGTTCCTCGTGAGTGTTGATTTTCTCGAGCAATCTTTGGAGATGAGAAAAAGTTAGGAAAACAGAAGTCAGATGCGAATAGAGTTTGTGCTCGCTTCGCTGAATTGGCTTAGATGCAAGGAATAGGGGCAATTCCTGCTTGCAGGGTTTGGGTTCTTAGAACGAACCATGTAGTGTCAGGGGAAAAAGCAGTAATTGCTTTGGAGTTGTGGACTGTTTCACGAAATTCCGCTCGAAAAATCCAAAATATTTAGGAGTGGTTATTCAATACAACAGCACGGTGCAAAATCAAAATTTATCGTTTTTGTTCTGATTGAACAAATTTTGAGCACCCAAATAGGCATGAGGTGAGCATCATTTATGCAACAGACTAGAGGGCAGCCTGAATGAAGAGACGCAGACGGTGATACAAGGCGAGGACGTCCAAACAAGAAGAAACGCAGAAGTACGCAGTAAGGACCGGTCCGTGCATCATAAAACATTTATAATCTAGATATGAAGTTTTTTTCTTCTTTACGTTGGATATTGCAGATAGTATCGCAATGAGTGGGGAAGGGATGGGGTGTGACAAAGATTCTTTTTGGTCAGAGGGGCGTGGTCAATTTTGGAGAGCATATCACAAATTTAAGAACATCCGACCCTTACAAGAAAAGAGCAGACTTCAAAAAGCCGGACGCACCGCGCTTCAAAATCGACTTAGATTTTCCAAAAAATTTTAAGAGCTATTTTGATCACTTACAAGCGGAAACAAGTCACTTGCGCTGTTTTGTAGCTTTAGGCTACTTTTAAAAGGCAGTACCTTTCACGCTAAAGCTCCTATTGCGCTCAGTTTTGTGAGCGTAAAATATCTTTATCACTAGTGAACCAGTAATCTAAAGGCGCTATTTGGAAGAGCGTTCGCTTCGGGACCACCACGAATTTTCCCGCTAGTTGCACATTTTTGAATTGCGCTTACGTTTCTTTATGTATTTATTATATTAGACCATCCTTATTTGATGAATCGTCGATTAATTTATAAAAAAATGGCAATGTATGCAACTAAAAACTTCTTGTCAAGAAATATGAAGGACATGATGCTACACCGATGACGCAAGTGTTATATAGCTAAAACTAGCTTGACTATTAGTGTGTATATAGCTGCGCAAAATGAAAAAAGAAACTTTTGCAACAAAACACCACATCGCAGCCGCCACCAGCACCTGTACGAATTTACAAGCGAGGCGGCTGAGTCACGACCGAAGCAACGTCTTGGTATTGTTTGAACAAGCATGATGTTTGCTATGCTTTGGCTATTG